TGGGCAACAGATTACATTTGAAAAACTTTACAGTAATGAGTCCTTCAAAAACCAAAGCTCCCGCACTCAGAACAGCCCAAACACCAGGCTGCCGAGAGCTTTCATTACCAAATACTTTCTGTCCAAGGCAGAAAAATTGTGAAACTGTCCAAAGACCTCAATACACATCAGACAAACAAAAAACAAAGCTGACAAACATGGATTTTCTCCAATATGCCCTTGAGCTAGGCATTTATCTGCAGCTTTACTGTAGCACAAGTGTGTTCTGATCATGAGCCCAAAGTTTTTCTCTCTCCCCAAAGTTGAACGTCTTTGCCTGCCGACGTCTCCTCTCCTCTGTGCCTCATTGTCATTCCCTCTACTCTTAAAAGTTTGCTATTGTATCCAACACAACGGACCGTCCACTTAACGGCAGCGAAAACAATAGAAAAGCCAAAGTGAGTCTCCACAGCTTAAAGTGATTAGATGAATTTCTCACTAATCCCCACCTTGAGCAGGTAGGAGAACGCTCCCAGGGCTACCAATCGATTTGATACACACTCTCACAAAGAGATACACACACACTCTAACCTTTTCTAAAATCATCTCATCAAAACTATTCGGGAGCTCATTTCACTATTGTGTTCGGTTTTTTGGGGGTCCTTACAAAATGGCAATTACATCCAGCGCATTAACGCAGGTGCCAAACGATGGGACCATTAAGGGAGCCGACACAAACAGATCGATCGGATATACAACAGACACGTGGAGGAATGAGAGCAAAAATAAAAATCTTTACGCGAGGCAACGGGCAACACAAAAAAAGAAGAAAGAAAGAAAAAAAGGAAGGGCTGAAAAGAGGAAACGGTGCAAAAAGCACACGCAAACAAACGAGCCGTGCTTTGTCCAGGCAGCTGTGACGGTTGTATTCTAAATGGGCCATTACAGCACAAACAAGCAGCACGCTCATTGATCGCAGGCCCACAGGACTCGAGGCACCTGAAAGGCTTTGTGCCCTACAGAGGCAGAGATACCTGTACAAAGCTCCCAGAGGAGACTTCATAAAAAAGCATGGTGATCGTGTACGCCAATATGTTTATAGTTTGTAAGAGGCGGATGCGGTGAGTTACAAGATGCTCCGTCACAGAGATTTGACAGGAGTGCTGCTAAATGCGGTAAAAGCAAACTTATGAAGAGTTTCTCTTTTGTCTCATTAGAGCTCAGGCTTAACTTTGTGACACGGCTGCTCATTAGTTACACCCCAAAGGAAAACAAAGGGTAAAAAGCGCATACATTTGTATTAAATGACTGACAATGAAAATAAGTTTGGTTCAATGGCTTTGACTGAGCTCCTGTTTAAGAAACTTTTTTTTTGTTCAGATATGTAACCACTAAGGTCACGTTCACATCTGTGGTTCTGCTCAGCTGGTCCAGAATGAAATATTAAATTTGCAGCCTCGTTATGTAGATCTGCCACAAACAAACCACGAGGAGTAAAAATGGAGCCTGGCAGACCGACAGGTAACTCGCTGATTGGGCGGGCTTAATGATGAAATCCTGCATCATCGTTGCAGGGCAAAAAGGTTGGTCAAGTTGTTTTGTCCAGGTTGCATAACAGAGCAATTTGTTTCAGTCTCAGTTTGTCTGCCATGAATTAACCGTTTGGTCTGCAAAATATCCTACAATGGCAAAAAATGTACATCAATGTTTCCTTGAAGGCGAGGTAAGGTTTGCAAATTGCTTCTCTTGTCTGTTGATAGACTGAACATATTCAACATCTACTACAGAAGACCAAGATGATACTCAAGTATGTATTTCATCGAGTCCTTGCAGATTAATTTGTTTATGAAAAAACTGATCATTTCAGCTCTAAATGTCTCAGCTGTTTTCAGAATCGTGCACATTTATCTGAAGAGAGCCAAAAAAGTAACGACTAATGTTTAGTATTATTAGTAGGAAGAAGCATTGCTTCTCTTATACCATGTGTAACAGGCAAATCGTGTTATCATTTTTATTATTATTTTTACCTCTCAAAGAACAAAGTCTATGATTATACCAGTGGACAACGCCTTCGCTATTACAGTAATGTCCACAGGTTCCTGGATGATGGCCCTGTTTTATGTGACTACAGCAGATGGTCTCATTTTTATTTTAGTTTCACCACATCTAGGTTTAGCTTTTAGTTTGGTTTTAGCTAACTATAATAACCTTCATAGTTAGGCTAACTTATGATAAGATTGTTGTCCGTATTTTACTTTTTATAATTGTGTTTTTGAATGATTTAGATTAACGGTCACCGACAGGAAATACTTCATCTTTGGAGGTCAGCTATCAGCCACTCATGACACTTTCTATGGAGTTCCACAGGGCAGCTATCTGAGCCCGTTAATGTTAATCAGACAGCATAATATTTGCTACTGTGGTAATGCAGATGATGCACGGCTATATGTTTCTGTAGAGGCAGTGATGCTTTGACTAAACTCTCTATTATTGTATTTAATTGACAGTAATATCAAATATTATCTATTCAGAAGTTTGGGACATTAGCAACGAGTGTAAAACCACAAGTTAAACGTTTTCTTTCTCATTCAGATTTGAGCTTTAAAGCTCATATTAAATCAAACAGTCATTTAAGTGATTAAAATGCAACTTTAATTCAAGGGGTTTAACCAGGTATTGTTACAGCCATTTTTACACATTTGGAGAGCCTAACCAACAACAGTATGATGGCCAGGTGAGGACTGTTTTATCAAAAATTAAGTATAGAACTTGCATTTGGTACTAGAACTCTCAATATGACGTACCAAGAGATGTGCAGGTGAGGGAGACCATCATTACACAGAAAATACTACATAAATCTACCAGGAAAACAGCAAAAACATTAGCAGCGTTAACAGTCTGCAACAATCTTCTCAAGAATAAATGCACCGACCAGCTGACCATGACAACTAAACTAGATGATTACAGGATTGTTTTCTCAGTCTGGAAAACTCCTTCACAACATCTAATCAAGTCAAAAACACTCTCGAGGAGGTAGAAATATCATCATCAAGTGTCTACAATTACTGGTTACACTTAAGAATAAGGAGGACGGATTAGAGACTGCCAGAAAACATCTACACAGGTCTCTAGTGTTTAATGACCATGTGACACCTGGTAGAAGCAGCAGGATGAACTGTGCAGTGTACAGGGCTTTACTGCCCGCTCAGATTCAGACAAATGCTACAAAAGTGCCTGGATAATGAACCAAAGCATATTGCAGGAGTCTCACGAGGCAATTGGATATTTTTCAATGGCCAAGTCAGTCATCTGATCTCAACCCAAAAGGGCAGCTCATCAGTTATTAAATACAAAACTGAATGCAGAGACTCACAAACAAGCAGCAACTGAAAGTGACTGCAGCAGAAGCCTGGTCTAACCAGAACCTACAGGGACAAGAGAGTAACTGTAGAGCCAGATCACTCGCATATCACAGTTACTTGGTTATATTTGCACATAAGCACCTTATAAGTATATTTATTGCCTCCTTGTGTGTGCACACAGTGTACATGTGCATGCCCTGTACTAGAAAAGATATCTGTGAAACTCCACAACACTTAATACAAAAAACATATATATTGAAACAAAACTGCTGAACACAATGAGCTTAGAGTAGCTAATTAACATCATGATGTTATAATTAGGTGAACAGCTGAAACTTGCACACGCTGAATTATGCGCACTAAATCAAATACCTGTCTTTGAGGTTGATGAACTGCAGTTGTTTTTCTTTATGCACCACTGCTGATATATGTGGGAGGGGGTTTTCCACCCCTCAATTTTCAGCAGTTTTCTTGCCTGTGGCATCTACACCGCTATATGAAGATGAAGCATGGTTGTGTTTTCACAATTTTTGTCATTGACTTGGTACTTAAGCCAAGACTGCAAATGCATCTAATAAGTCAAGGATTTAGCCATGAACTTGCTGAGACCTGACAAAAGAGGCATCTTCAATCACTGCAACATAGCGGAGATGCAGTTAATGTGTGGCTGTTATTGTGTAGTTTGACTCCACTTTTTCAGAGGCTCTGCTAAAACAGTGTTTTAAATCATTTTCACTAACAAAGTAACACTTCTCATCCAGCTCCCTTCATCAGCACATTTGACTGTATCAGCTTAATTGAACTCTTGTTTTTCACAGATAAGGAGCGAGGGATAGTTTTCTTTTTGCACATTTCATAAAAATGAAGGGAGGAAATGAAGTGAGGTGTTAGGCAGGTAGCACGTACAAAAAGAACAAAAACAGAAAGAAATCAACTTCTTCCAAACAGCTACATCTCATTAATATTCACTCCCAAAAAATACAAGATACTGGTGAATAAATTCTCCACCTCTGTTACAAGAAAGAAAGAGGCCACTATGTGAATAATATTTGACTGAAAGTTCCCTAAACTCTTATCATACTGTGTGACTGTTAATACCCTCAATATATGAGAGCAGCTTAACTAAAACCCCTGTCCTCACCCTTTACTGTAGCCGTAATGGATGGTTTGTGAGATATGACTTCTGAGATTAGAGTAAAGTGTAACAAGAGACTTATTGTAAGGACATTTCCTAAACTGTGTGGCTAGAATTAGAAGATGATCCTGCAGGATTTGTTTGTAAGAGAACTGGAAATCATGTCTTGACTTCCCACAGCCTCCTATGGTAAGATTTAAACAAATGTGGAGGTGTACAATGTCAACCTGGCTAAAAGAGAGTCTGTATCGAAGGCGAGGGGCGCCATCATTTCCAACATTCGTCTTTGAGAAGATGAAAAAGAAATAAGAAGCAGAGTATGTGTTAAGGTAAGAGCTGAAAGATCAAACGGATAGAGTGCACTCTTCTCTCACACACATAAAAAGACAAATCAAATATCACGTGCAGCCGAGCATGAATAGCTCTTTGTTGGTGGAAAAAGCGTGCAGAAACATGCCAAGCTACATGCCGTACACATGCTGGTGAGGCAGCCGTGCACAAACACAAATGAAGAGTAGACATACCAGAAGTTTTTGAAGGGCGTGTTGATTTCAAAGCCCCTGCGGTCCACGTCTCTGATGTTGGCAGCGGTCAGTTCCACTTCAGCGACAGCCAGCCCCGCTTTGTAATCCTGAAAATCACAAACACAAAGATAGAAAAAAATGATAACCATTTAACAGATTGTTCACATTTTCTCAGCAAAAAATATAAAAAGGAACCGTTTATCCTCTTCTTACATTACAGGATTGAGTGTTTACCTCACTGTTAAATATGGAGCTAAAGCCACAAGATCGTTAGCCTAGCATTAAGGCTAGAACCAAAGAGAAACAACTGGACACAAACACTCGTTATTTCTACTTTTTTTTTTTTCATTGTTCTTTTCACCTGCATCTTTGCAACAAAACAAACAAGCATGACCAAACGTTTCGTAACTCAGAATACACAAAACATAAGTCTTTCTTTTAAATTTTTAACAGAGAGGCTAGCTAAGCTAAGCTAATATTACATGACATTTACGCTAACAACATGTTTGGAAAGTACACAATTAAATACCTTGAATCTTCTCAGCTTAGTCTTAATAAGGATGCAAATAAGTATTTTAATGAATTAAAATTCACTGTACTTTGAATTGCTTTTTTAATTTTTATTCTAGCTCATCAAACAAGCTAATAATCTCAGCGTTCTCCTACAAAGAGAAAGAAGTCTGGGGCTTTTCTGTGTGGGTTTTACATGTTCAACCCATGTCTGTGGAGTCTCTCCAGGTACTTCAGCTTCCTCCCACAGTCCAAAGACTTACATTTGGTTAGATTATCTAGTGATTATAAATTAGCCATATGTATGAATGTGACCATGAATTGTTGTCCATTTATATCTGTTATCCCTGCAACAGCCGGTTCAGGGTGTAGCCTGTGTCTTGGCCCTTGTCTCTTAGCCCTCCATGACTCTCCATGACTCTCAACTGGATAGCTGGAAGAGAATAGATGCATGAATAGATGGATGGATGGAAGGATGGATGGATGGATGGATGACCATTATAAATGCAGGTATTGAAAGACTGGAAAGTAGCTAACATCGGCCTGCTGCCAAACCGGTCGGACTCTATTAATGTTGTGCTTATTTGCCTCTTAAAGGCCCCTTTTATCTTCTTAGTAAATAAATAAGCATCAAAATTGATTGTGAAGTGTTGGCCTAACATGGCATTCTGAATTGTACTGAAGCAAACTGCGAAAGTTTTTTTTTCCTCACTAAAAGAGTGTTACTTTCCTGTACATCTTTATTTCCCCCACTTTTAAAGCACAGACATATGCTTCAAGTTGAAAATGAATGCAGAAAATATTAAAAACAATGTTCCCTAAGGGGCCCTGCAAATATTTGGCTTCAACCACTGGGCAGTACTTCAAGCCCCTTCTGGTCAAATTACAGACCCTGCTTAATAAGGTGGGATCAACAGGTCAGCTCATTAAAGTCGCAACCTGTTACTCAAATGAGGCTTGAATGTCAACACTGAGGAAGAAGCACAGTCACAGCTGTATATTATATAGTATATACATAAACACACACAGGAAGTGGATATAATGTTAGACTCGTGAGAGGGACCTGCTGAACTGTCATTGACTTTCTTCCTCTCCTCACCAGTGACGCACAAACTGCCTCTGTATGTGGTGTGCGTGTTTGTGTGTTGCAGAGATACACCGAGATAAGTGTGTATGTGTGCGAGACACATAGAAAGCAATAGAAACCAGAAAGAGATAGGGAGAGTATACCTGCGCATAACAGCAAAGCTCTGTTAAAGCCAAAAGTTTCATCTCGGGAATCCAAACCAACCCGAGCTTTCAGCTTCAATGTTTTCTGAGGCACATTTCAGAAAATAGGGGTTATGTGCAAAGGCACAGTTTTCACAAGTTCCACTGTAACTCTACATGCCCCTCCCTTCTCCCACTTCACCCTCAACACTCACAGCAGTTTAGACCATTTTCTATAGCCTAGAGCTCCGAGCCAGAAAGAGACGGAAAAACAGACGGGGAGACGGAAGAAGCGCACCCACTCCCACACATATAAGCAAAACATCAAAACAGAGCCGAAATCTGAGGGGTTCCAACTTTACAGTAAAGAATAATACACACTCGAAAGCATCCCTGATGCACTGAGACAAAGCCAAAAAGACGTGACTCAAAAAGATGAGGGTGACAAAGAGCGCGAGAACACAGAGGAAGGGAGAGACCGGTGAGAACGTGCATGTGAAGGGAGGTCGTGATAATCCTCACTGAGAGTGGGTGAGACAGGCGAGGGGTCAGCTGAGCAGTTGACAGAGAAAGTGCGTGTGTTTGTGTGTAAAAAGCCAGAATAAAACACCATCTTCACAAATACTCCAACAACGAATTACAAATACTGCTTAAGTGAGGAGCACTAAACGCTGCCACGCTGTGCCAGCTATAAATCATGTGTGTTTTCTGCGCTAACTGTTCTTCACCAGCGAAAACAATTTGCACTAATTACGCCCAAACAAAGGAGGAAATGAATCGACGCCATCGACGCTGATTAGGCGCTTTTTTTGGAAACGCACGACCTAGCGGTGAGAAGACGCGCGCACGTGTGTGTGCGCGTGTTTGTGTGTGTGAAGGAGAAGAGCGCTGCCATATCTCTTGCTAAATAATTAGCAACCACCTTCTCAGAGCAGCCAGATTTTACAGATTGCAATCCAAGATGGAAGTTTACTTAAATATTTTTTCATGCTGCAGCATTTCCAGCCTGATCTTTTTGCTATTGTGTGGGCTGGATCAATTGAGGCTAATGTTGTCAAAATCTTCATTTGGCCATCGTTAGCCCCAATTAGACTACTTCAAACAAATTTAGAGGACTGTAGTGAAAAGCGCGACCAATTATTCTCCCGTCCCACAGTTCCGTGCAACGATACCAGGAGAGGACAACGAGGCAGCGTCATGCGGAGATCCCGTGAAGCTTTATGAGTAATTAAGACCCTTTGATTTCACAAGAGGATGACATAAGCGACGGAGAGAAAGAGAGAGATAATGTGAGAGTGAGGCTTGTATGGCCAGGTCCTAATTGAGCTGAAACTTTTGACGCGAGGGCCTCGAGGGCAGCAAAAACTTGCCTCTCTCTCCTATCAATTACAGCCGTGTACAGTTGTTGCTCTTTTAAGTTCAGCGTGTTCAGAGGTTTGAAGACGCATGACGCTGTAATGAGAGCGTGGGGGTCATGGAGTAGAAATGCAGTCTCCTTCAAAGCTCGCAGTTGCCGTCCGTTCAGATCAGCAGAGGAGCTCGATGTGGCGTTATAAAAGAAAACACACGAAAAGCCCCGCAGAAGGACAAACGATTTACATGGAAGAAAAAGAAATGACAGCAGAAGGATGTCTGCATGTGTACGCGTGCATGCAGGCATGAGTGTTCACGCCTGTCTGAATGCATGTGCCGAGAGGGCAAAGCAGTCACCTATATCTAATGACCCTCATCTCACTCGGGCAGCCAATTAGAGAGTTGGGTGTTAGCGGCCGTCCAGCCCTCACCACTCGTTACCTACCCAATATGTGCTGCAGCCTCCTGCCCTCTCCAATTAATTCACCAAGTATGGAGGGATGGAGAGAAGAAGCAAAGGCATTAGAGGTAAAAAAAATAACCCTTTTTACAACTGCTGAGGGGTAGGAGGCATTAATGACGCTTATAGGAGGAGAGAGGGGAAAAGGCCCTAAGGCGAATGTTCTCACGCATGTGTATGACTTACTACTTGTGGTCCATATGCAAAGCATCTCAGGGAGGTGAAACTAATTTTTTATTTTTAAAAAGTAAAAAAAAAAAAAAATCAGCTCATATCAACAAAATCTCGAGAACTGTTACAAGGCGTGAAGGACAAAGTCTCGCTCACGCTTAACCTCGTGAATTCTGCACAAAGGCCGTTTGGAATATTCCAATTATTTCTCTCAGAGCTTTCCAAGTCAGTCGCTTCTCAGCACAGAGCCGCTCTGAAAGAAACCCAGACAAATAAAGGCAGGGCTCCACGTCTATCTCCAATTCCATGACCACTCAACCACTTAAAGCTGCTCTAAAAGCATGCAGGGTAACACCGTCTCACACAGAGGTAGGCGAGTTTAAAAGAGCACACATGAAGACAAAAGACTATTTGATTATTTTAAACATCGGGCGGCGAGGCAGCGAAGGGCGGCGACAGGGTGGAGAACACGGAAGTCACATGAACGCATAAAGACAAGAGTTTGATGTCTTCAATTTCTGTATTCCTCAAAGTCGGTTGAGGGCACGTTTCAACCAACAACCAATAAAAGACACATTTTTGGTCATTTGGTTAAAACATTTTCACAGAGCTTGACTGGGGATCCTGCAGGTAGCTGTAAAGACTTTTAAGACTCTCACAGCTCTTCCATCGTGAGATTGTCTGGAAAAAACATAAAGATCATAGGTTTCTGTAACTAATAGCACATGACTCCAACGAGCGTCAGTCCACCCGGACCTTAGCATGCACAGACCTCAATCAGGGGGACTTTGATTATTCTGAAACTTTTATTCTAGCTCCAGTAGAAGGTCAGATTCATTTGGTTTATTTCCCCCATCAGCCTCAGCTGCTCTTTGTTCTAATTAACAAATGCTAGCATGCAAACACACAATTAATACCACTTTCAGACAGCTACAAGAAGCATCGCAAGTAATCTTCTCGGTGCAACCTTCATTTGACTACAGCTGACAGCGTCTGCCCACAGACCTGACAACACACGACAGTGTCACAAACACACAAGACAGTCATGAATCTTTATTTGTGTGCAGCTGAGATCAGATGAGTCCTGAGTGTGCGTGCAGCAATGACTAGGAACAGCAACGTGTTTGCTGGGCACTGCAGCAGGTGTAAACTTACTGCATGATGGTGTTTGATTACAATAAAGTTAAAATTATTGAAAGTGCAACCCCACCGTGAGCTTTTGTCTAGTCGCAATTTGTGGTCACATTCAGTTTTAGCTTCACATGCTGTCTGGTCCATTTTCTCGACTCACGATGTTACTGAAAATAGTGTGACGGCAGCGCAGGCTTCAAGGCTGTCTATATGTGATAGACAACAACTGCGAACAGAGACACAAACCTTTGGCAGCGAAACGCTTTTATATTC